AAGTTCGCAACATGCCCCCTGTCGAATTCCTTGGTCATCACGTATGGCACATCGCCAGTGTAGCCGTCGCAGCAGGGCTCGCAGAAGTGCTGCTCGTGATTGTTGCATTTGTACAGGGGAACCGTTACGTGTTCAGTGTGAAGCGCACGGAGATTGAGATACTCCCACGCAGCTGTCTTGTCCGGATAGCCGTTCATCTCACCCAGCTGTCGTTGCTTGGGAGATGCGTCGGGGTCACTGTTGCCCGCGGCAGCAGCTTGGGGGCACTTTGTGATCGCCTCTGGCGGGTTGGCTGGCCCAAACCCGAGCACTGGCACCGCGATAAGGGCCCCCCACAGAGGTGCCGCACATTTTGCCTGCATCACTTTGGATCTGCGAGGGCGGAGGCGGCGCCAGGCGAGCGTCAGCAGCATAATATGGGACGAGCAGGGCGCGGGCTCGTTTTGGGGGGCGCGGGGACGCAGTAGGCATGGAGGCGACCCGCGGCCGCGCGCTCAGGAGCTCTCCGACCGCGATCTGATTGTGCCAGATTCGCGTCGCTCGGAGCGAGCCGCTCGCGCGGCGGTCGCAGCACGGCGTGCAGCCGGGCACGGGCTCGCTGCAGAGGTGGTTGTGGGGCGAGGCGCGGCCGGGCACGCGCGGGGGCAGCTCTCATCACGCGCCGCGTCGCGCCGGGCGACGGGCGAGGCGAGGAGGCACCGCAATCGACTGCAATCTCGCTCTGCAATCGAACGCGCCCGAGATTGCAAAAAGAATTGTGTCCGGGTTTCTGAGAGCGATATGCCATTAAGACGAGGTGCAGCAGGAGGCGGTCCGCAGGGTATGCGGCGCGCTCGGCATGAGGGAGCAGTTCGAGGCGGCGATGGCGGCGGGCGAGCTGCTCGAGATGCTCGAGAGCTTGCCGCGAGGGGCGGTCGAGGCCTCCGTTCGGCTGATGCGCGGTTACAACCGCACGGGCGAGTGGCCAGAGCCCATCCTCACCAGCCCTGCCCCGCAGCGCGGCCGCTCGCCAAGCCCCGTCGATGAGTGGTCAGATGGTTAGTGCCCGAGAGCGAGGGGTCCGGGGGGGAGCACAAACATAGGACGCCCAGCCTTGCCCTCGTGCCGCCGAGTGCATATCCTATGCGAGAGAGATCCCCTGTGCCCTGTGCCCAGCCCTCTCCGCGCGGCGATGCGCCCTCCCCCCTCGCTTTTGCAAAATCCTGCAAAGGTGGGGACGTGTCTGTCCTCGACCCAGCCCTAGCTTGGGATGTCCGTTGTATTTATTTATTTATTTATGCCATTAAGATGGGAAAAGACAGCGAGCCGCTGCGGTCGGGGAAGGGACGAGCCTTGAACGTGAAAGTAGCGCAGACATGCCTCGCGCTGCACGTCTCACACCAGTTCACACACTTTGCGGCGACGGACGGAGGAAAGGACCATGAAGACAAAAGGGCGGAGGATGGAAAGTACGTGCCGAACCCTAGGGTGGCGTACGGCGTGTTCGAAGGACCGACACGATTCGGAAAGAGCGTCCCGGGAGACGCACAGGTAAAGGATCCCAACGGAATCGGACCCTGTGAAGAAGGGGAGATACGGATAGCGTTTGGGGCGGGAATGTGGGGAGGAAAGCTGCCGAACATGTGGGAGCCGATAGACGCGGAGATGTACGCGATACTCGCATACTTACGCAAAATGGCGAGCGCGAGCGACGCGCAAGCGCGGCGGTGCTTAGTGCTATGCGACTGCAAACCCGCGCTGCAGCAGATTGAGAATGCGCACCGCAAAGGGATGCCAGAAGGCCTGAGGGACTGGGAGAGAGGCGGACTGCTGGAGGCGATCGCTTACTATAGATCGAAGCTAGAGGCGGTGGTCTTCATGTGGGTGCCAGCACACGTGGGAATAGCCTGCAACGCTTACGCCGACGCGGTGGCGACAGCACACCTCGGGGATAACGACACGGAGGACGCCTCGAAAGTGGTGCGGGACGCGGTGCGGACGCGGCCATGCATGTACACGGTGCGAAGGGAGGCGGCAGAGAACGCAGAGAAGAGGGAGATAGTGGACCGACGGACGTACGGACACATGTGTAAGAGCGCGCACGAGTGGGTGTGCGAGCAATATCGAAAGACAGTGAGGCCGGGGTCGCACACGGCAGGGGTGGCGGGACGGTTGTGGAGCGAAGTGGCAGTAGCCAGCCTCAAGCATCGATGGGATAATAAGATGAGATTACCAGACGAGAACGGGGGGAAGGACAGGCGGGCGACATTTGACGACGTCGGGGATCACAATGTGACGACCAAAACGATCTTGGGGGCCAGGGTGAGACAACAGGTCGGGGTGCCACATGGGGCACACCACAGGCGTATTCTAGAGGGGGAAAAGAAACGGGGAATGAGGGGCCCCGCCACGAGAAGTGCGTTCTGGGGATGCAGAGCGTGCAAAGCGGCTAGAGATGAGGTCGCAAAAGAGGCGCGCGAGGCAAGGAGGAGACGCGGGGAACTGAAAGACTGGGACGACTGGAAACAAGAAGACAGTGAGCCACCACAGGCGTCGTTGGCGCATATACTGAGCGGCAGCTGCGCTGGAAATAAGGAAGAGGCGCGTCACTTCATGCGGAAGCTCGACAAACACACAGCGAGGGCGACAGCAAGAGTTGAACGGGAGGCGCCGGACTCAAAAGACACCGCCACATTCCTGAGACGAGCGAGGGCAGCCTCCTTAAAGGCGAAAGGGTCTAGATTTGGGGCGCTCGCCGAAGAGGAGTACGACAAAATAGCACCCGTGATTGCCTGCACGCTACCCGCACTCACGGACTCCATACCCGAAAGAAAGAGAAGGGAGCTCGCGGGAGAGGTGACGAGTGAACTACAGGTAGTGGGGAAGGCAGCCTCGATTGCCATACAGACATGGGTGCGAAACAACGACAAGACCAAGGCACGGGCAGAGGAACGAGAGAAGAATATAGGGTGGATAAAACGCCTGTTCACGGCATGGAGGGTGAGCCACACCGAACGTACCGAGCGAAGAGCCGAGCGGAAGGAGGACGGGGAAGATGACTCAGAGGAGGACGAACCAGTGGAAATTCAGTTGTCAGATGTCACGATGCATCCGAAGGGGACCCCAGCGCCGGCATCATCCGTAGAGGCACGAGTGTTCGAAGAGAGAGTGGACCTGAGCAACAACATGACTTGGAGGCAAATGATCGGAGTGGGAGTCAGAAATGTGGTCCTTGCGCGAGGGGAGCTCGATAGACTCGAGGGGCCAGGATACGCCGCAAGGAGGACGGAGTTGCGCCGAGAGGCGAAAGAAGCCGCGAGAACAAGGGACCGGCAGGCGGCGGCGTCGCAGGACGAGGCAGAAGAGAACGACGCGACAGAGGGGGAAGTGACAAGGGAGAGAACGACGAGAGTGGGACAGCCGCGAGGTGGCATGAAGGTTGCAGCGAGAAGCGGCGAGAGACTGCGAAAAGAGATACGAGGAGGCAGACCCCCCAGGGTGGGCGACGGCTAGCGCATCACACCCTCCTCTCCTTAAAATCCCTGTGTGGTGGCGGCGTGCCGTTCTCCCATCCCTCCCTTGGGTTGTGTGTTTTCTTTCTTTCTTTCTTTATGCCATGTCCGCCTTGCGTTTGTTTCATAACATCGAAGGCTAAGCTCAAAAGAATTTTGCGACCAGCTTCCTCGCACAACACTCTGTATTTGTGTGTGTGCACAACACTGGGCACGGCGGCTCCGCTAGTGTCAGCTAGCACCGACTTCCCGATTAAGCTAGGTTAATCAGAGGGCAGATTTGGAGAGATCTCGAGGAGTACATACAGATAGACCCTCTAACCATAAGATAACTCTAACCTGAGCGGTCGTACTGACCGCCGACAGATCACTCCAGACAGCAGACAGGCCGACGTCTGCACGCGGCCGGCCGGGCGAGAGGCTTGACACGATCCGACCCTGCGACCCTGACGCTGCTGCTCTAGCTATCAGACGTGCACTGCTGACTGCTGCCATAATGTTCGACCTGTGCTGGCCCACTTGGCGGCCTTCCCGGTCAGTGGTGAGGCGCAGTTCAGAGCTGTCGATGGCGCGATGCCGCACTGGTCCCACATTGGTGACACGATACCACCAAGTTTGCCGGTCCAAGAGAGAGGCACCGGCGCTGTCCTGAGAAGGTGCGTGGTCCCTCTTGACTGCCCATGCGCGCGAGGCTGTGTAGGCATAGCCTCGAGAGTGCCAGAGCCAGTCCGAGGCAGTTTGTGACGCGCATTGCGTCAGAAGCGTGCACACGATGGAAGGACACCTTCCTACTGGCCGTACGATCAGGTCGTCACTGAATGCTTGATACTAAGGCCGCGAGCTATGCAGGTGATCAATTGTGCATCATGGCACGGTCAGCAGCGCCGACAGGCTGTCGCAAGGCGTGATAGCATGGCCGCAAGTCGCCGAATTCCCATGAAAACAAGTAAAAAATTGAAGAAAAAAGAAGAAAAAACTCGAAAAAATCGGCGCCTGCGGCGGGCCATGGGGCCCCATCCCCCCCCCGCATGGACACCCTCTGGGGCCGGCGGCCCAGAGTAT